ATGGTCTGAATTAAAATATGTAAATATTGAGGGGACGAATAACATAATGAGAACGATACTATGGAATAATAGTAATATTAAAATAAGGAACCGAATGCTTCATTTTAAGGTGTGGGAGAGAGGAGGAATAAAAAGAGTACACCATGTTCTTAATGACGGTCGATGGAAAAACTCTGACGAAACTGCCCAAAGATATGGGTTACCCAAAATGTTATTTGCTTTTAAGTTTGCTATGTTGAAAAAGGCTTTCCCCTTGGTATGGTTGCGTAAATCACAGGATGTAGAACGTGATGAAGTAATTGATTTACAGACCATTGAGATTTCGACAGGGGATATGATAGATTTGTCAAAACTTAATACGAAAATAATATATTCACTGATTGTGCAAAAAAATAAGAAAAAACCATATATTTTAAACGCATGGCAACAACGACTACACTTACATGCGGATTTTAATTGGTCATCTGTTCTACAGTTTAAATTCCATGTTGTACGGAATAATAAAATCAGAGAATTTAACTTTAAACTTTTGCATATGATTTTACCTTCACGATACAATTTATGCAAATGGAAGATCTTAGATTATAATACATGTGAGATATGTAATACGCTAGAAACCACTAAGCATATGATGTTGGAGTGTGAAAACGTAAGATTGTTTTGGAGAATTGTTTCAGGTGTAATCTTCAATTTATGTGGTCTAAATATTCAGATGACTGAACAGATTTTAATACTTGGTTATGAAGTTGAAAACTCAATTTGTCATTTAGTAAATTTAATAATAAATTTTGCTGAGTATGTAATATATAGAAACCACGTAAAGAATTTACAATCATTTAATAGAACACATGCGAGAACTCTATATCGTAGTCTTAAATATGAGTTGACATTTTATTTGAACTGTAAAAGTATTAAAAGAGAAAATAACAATATGGTACAGAAATTAATTGAGATGCTGTAGACAACGAAAACAGATGTACTCATGAACAAACTAATGGGACGTTGCAATATTTTATTTGTTTATGATTGTATATGAGTTGAATTTGTTTATTTGAAGGAAAAGAAACAAAAAGGAATGTCAATTTGAATAATAAAGTTCCTCTGATTGAGGTTAAAGAGAAAAAAAAAAAAAATCGCAGCCAATGGCTGAATTGCGATCCATTTCACAAGGTTATATACAATACAATTGCAATTCAAATTGAAATAACACAAAATATGACATAAATCAATAATCAAACATATAGACATTTCATAAAAATTCATTGATTTCAGATTCAAATTTTTGTTAAAAAAAAGAAAGAGATAGGGAGAGGTGTAGGAGAGGGAGAGTTGGAGTGATGACAAAGAGAGAGAAGGAGAGAAAGAAAGAGAAGGGGGACGGGTGAGAAAGAAAAAAAGAGATAGAGAGGGAGAGAAAGAGAGAGAGAGAGAGTTGAAGAGAGGAAAAGACAGACAAAGGGTACCTTATCATTACAAATGAGGGGAGATGGCAAGAAATATTCAGTAATGCAGAAAATTTAGATAAAAACTATCAAAATTCATTCACATAGTTCAATCATGGACTGTGAAATTCTAAAAATATTGGTATTACATTTTATTCAAAAGATTTATAAAGTAAGGAAGAGAGCTGCACTGGAAGCGTTTTGTTTTACATTGGTATTGTTTAAACTTTGATTGAGATCTTAGAGAATAAGTGCTTTGTTGTCTAAGAGGTAAACATTCTTTAAATTGTGGGTGTTTGACAAGTGCATTTGCAAAGTCTATACATAACTGCTTACGTCTTGCTTCTAATGAACATAGATAGCACGTTTCCAATGCTGCTTCATAATTTTCATACTGACGTCCTAAAATGATTTTGCAAGCTCTTTTCTGAATACGTTCTAAAATATATACATGAGTTTTTGTTAAATTACCATTAAAAACCGGTACCCCATAATCTAAAATCGAACGAATGTATCCTTTATATATAAGTAAAAGGTCATCTACAGGCAATCCATACTTCTTAAGGCAACGAAACATAAATAACTTCCTATTACACCTTTTTGTGAGATCGGATACATGACTATCCCACTTTAGGTTTGATTGTAAAATAATTCCGAGGACTTTGGCTTGATGAACATAAATTAATTCTTTGTCGCCAATGAAAATTGAAGTTTGTTCATCACAATTTTTCACAAATGTTATAACCATAGAGAAACATTTGGACGGATTCAATGTCATATTATTTTTAGCTGACCATTGGTATAGATCAGTGATTGCATTTTGTAGTTTAGACTGAGATGTTACTTTTCGGCTTTCTACAATCGTTAAGTCGTCAACATATTTATAAATTGGTAAGTTAACATCATTACAGGCATCATTGATCATTACAATAAATAGAATCGGACCAAGTTTGGTACCTTGCGGAACACCAGCATTGATTGTTTTCAAATTAGATAACTGACCAAAATATTTTACCCTTTGTTGACGCAACTCGAGGAAACTCAGTATCCAAGATATTACACATGGCCTCACTTGCAGATGGATCAATTTGTTGATTACAATATTGTGGTCGATGCGATCAAACGCCTTAGAAAAATCGGTAAGTATGATGGTGGATAAAGATTTGGGTTTATCAGCGTTGGCATATATTTGATGAAGAAGTTGTATCAAGTAGTGGTTAGTGCTTAAGCCAGGCCGATTTCCATACTGATTGGGATCAATATGCCTGGTAATATCTTCAAGTAACCATTTACATATGAAAGATTCAGCAAGTTTTGCAAAGTAAGAAGTAAGTGAAATAGGGCGTAGATTTTGCAATGTGGGTGGTTGTGACTTAGGAATGGGTACAATTTCAGCTTGCTTCCAGAGTTGGGGGACAATAGAGCTCTGAAACGAATCGTTCAGAATGTCAGTCAATGAGATACACAATTCGTAAGCAAATTCTCGTATTATTCTTACAGGTAGGTCTCCAGAAATCCCAGCTTTACGTTGATTAAGAGATTGCAATTGCTTGTATACTTCAAAAGGCTGGATGATTGGACATGTACAATGCGACGGTAAAAATGCAGGCAATTTACATTTATCCAAACAAGGAAGATCAGCTGCTACAAAAGAAAAATGATCATTTATGCAATCAGAAATAACCTTAAAGTTTGAAGGATTGGTAGTATCAGTATTTGGGATTTCAATGGGTGAAGATTGTTTCCTATTGTTAGTAAGGATTTTAATTTGTTTGTACCAGCCAGCAGGATTTGTTGTTTTTAGATTACGTACTCTGGTATTATAATACCTAATTTGTTGTTCTTTAATCAAACGTTTAGCTTTGTTTCGAAGGGGACGCCAAAGAGATCGGTCATTTCTGTGAAATGCCAATTGTCTCTGTAGGATGATAGTTTTAACTCTTGCTGTTACCCATGGTTTATCAATTTCATAACACTGAATCTCTTTGGCTGGTAAAAACATATTCAAATGATATTGTACTGTATCTATAAACACTTGGCATTTGTTATGTATGTCATTTTCACAGTAAACATTATTCCAGTCATAATGAACAATCCAATTGCCGAAACTTCGCATCCCACTACTCTTTAGAGGGCGGATGACCTTCTTCGATTTAAACTTTTTCTGTTTGTAATCAGACCTGTTACGAGGCAACCATATAACATAATTATGATCACTTGTACTAATAGGAGACAAAATATTAACCTCTTTGTACAAAGAACTATTATTAGTTATTATTTTGTCCAGAATGTTCTCACCCCTTGTAGCTTGAGTAACAACTTGTTTAAAGCCACCAATGTTTAAGATTGGCTGGGTGTCGAAAATCGTTAAAATCCGCGATCGAATTAAGTTTATTCATTTCCATAAAAATCACATTACAAGAACACATACATTTTCAAAAAGCACTGTAAATAACATGCAAAATGTTTGACTAGAATATACATAAGTACATAAAATATCAAACAATGATGGAAAAAGGGAAGTTATAAAAACCCAAATAAATGAGTTTGTCGAGATATCTCCCCAAAAAGTAATTAAACAAAATGTAATGAACATAATACAGATTTTAAATTACATAAACTTATTTTTGCTCCAAAGAAAACTCGTATATATAACAACAGAAACAAACAAAACACCATACAAGCCCTACACATACACACATACACACACACATATATATATATATATATTATTCAAAATTACATTCATGTCGTCTGCATAAAATGACAGTTGAACTTCAACATCACTGTTTATTTTCAAACCTTGCACTTGTGGATTATTACGTATATTAATTGCAAGTGTTTTAATTGCCAAAATGAATAGGTACGCCGAAAGTGGATCACCTCAAAATTAAAAAAAAAATATATATATTTTCCACATATGTGAAGGATCATCCTTTTCAGCTAAAAGCTGGTCTTCAAAGGGGTCCATAAATCCATAAAAAATACTACCCTACATACGAATTTATCAAGAGAAATGGGGCATCATAATAACCCTGACATTCTGCAAACATACTCCTCTCCCTGGGGAGCATTCCGATCAGGCGCCATTTAAGACGCGATCGAATCATACTGAGTTCCCATTTATCTTCTGGTTGATGAGGAGAAGCAATATAGCCTTTTAAGGACAAAGTACCGTGCTGGGTGTAAAACCAATGACCTTTACATCTCCGGTCAAGTGATTACACCACTCGTCCACGACTGTGTTGAGAAACGGGGAGAAATGGAAGACAAACAGAGAGAGAGAGAGAGAGAGAGAGAAGATGAGAAGAAAAGAGAAAGGGATTGATTTGTAATAAGACTGAGATGAAGAGGGGAAAGGGTGAGAAGTAGAAAAGTAGGGGGATATTCTTTTTCCAAAAATAAATTCTTTAAAGCCCCACTGTCCTACTTGTAGCTACTTGCTCCCTCTATATAGAAAACTTCCCCAATCGGTGCCTGTCGGTCCCCCATAATCCTCTTTTTCTTATGTTAGTTGAGAGCTGAGTTGATGAGATAGCCACCTGTCAGTGACCTCGCTGTGTGGTCTAATCCCTTCTGGCCCAGTAGTGGTGACGGTCTTTCAAGAAAGTTTTGATTTTTTTTTGGATCGCGATAAGCTATGTCCACAGCCTTTAAACTGTATAATATGAAACCAATCAATCGATCAAAAGTATCAGCTTTCCAGAAGCGCCCTTCCGGTTCTCAATGAATTTATGACTAGCGGCAACGTCACTGAGTTTGAAAGACCAGCCGACGTACGTTTTCAGCCATCCGTCTTCCGCCCCTTGGTCGACAATCTCGCTCATTTTCACTCTCTCACTCTGGAAGAGAAATTAGGAGAAAAAGGAGTTGATATTCGTTTCATTTCATTTCATTTGATTTCATTCGTCATATAAAAAACAAACATGATTATAATATTGATATTTACAGATAAATAAAGAACATATAAATAACATAACGAAAGATAAACATAAAATACAAATATATATACGAATGAGGAACCAGCAAGAAAGAACAATTAAGTTTTGTGTGGTGCTGGTCCCTAGCGACATGATAAAGAATTTTAACCTATAACACTTAACACCTTACACCTAACAACTAACACCTAACAACCAACACCTGATTGCATATATAAAAACTAATAAATAGAATATTAGAGGACGGGTGTCTGGAGAAAGAGACACAATTAAAATGTAAGGCAGATGACATTGGTCTCCTGCAAGACCGTCGTTATTTACTGCACGCCATTGACAATACAAAGCTGCTACAAACTTCTTGCAGGCAATGACATAATTAATGTCTCATAAGGTAAGACTATCAGAGGAGAAAAGCATAATTAAAAAATGGTTGCAAAGTAAAAGAAGAAATAAATGAAAGTGAATTGAAAACTAGATAAAAATGGATAAAAAAAACATGAACAACAAACAAGGTATAGGCCTTAACTAATCTAGATCATACTCTTATATTGAGAAAGAGAGAGAGAGAGAGAGAGAGAGAGAGGGGGGGGGGGGGCGGGGGGGGGGGGTTGAGAGGGGTAGCACCAATATTGCGAGAAACTGTTACTTCATATTCGGGCAGCGAAGTCATTAGTTTTCAATACGTATATCTTAATGCAGTATGTTTTTATGACAAGACTACATGTTTTTGCTGCATAAATTACGCAGTGATGTGTAAAAAGATTTGCTCCACTTGATATTCAGAAGTTAGTCGTCCCCAGCCCCCAGCCCCCCCCCCCCCCTGAGAGCTATAATGTTGTTTGCTCGAAGTAAATTCACTTCTGGACACAAACAAATTGGAGACAGCATGAATATTCACACTCTCAACACGATAGTCCAATTAAAATCAACATTAAGTGAAGACGCTATGTGGAGTATGATGTGTTCAAAATGTTGAACACTGTGTGAAAGAGTGTCTCAAATCTACAATGAGAAACAACTAAACGGAAAGTGTGATGTCAGGGGCATGATAGTTCTCATATGCAGAATCCTGTTCATATCACGATTGACACCCATTATGTACGACAAGGTTTGTATATTATGTGTGTTTGTTTGTCTGTCTGTCTTTTAATGTTTGTTTGCCTATGCTTACAAGCAACTTGCTTACTAAGGATATCCAGGCCCCTCCATTTTTATGCTTATATTATTATTTTGATACAACGTGTTAATATTATGTTATACTTGTTCTTTTTTAAAGATGTAAATTAAATTTAATTGAAATTGAATATATAGTACCGACTCAAAGATGTTTGTCTGACTGTATGCTCATTCATTTGTTTGTCTGTTTGTATGCATGTTTGTCTGTTTGTATGCATGTTTGTTTGTTTGTCTGTTTGTATGTTTGTGTACATACCGAGTCACAGAAGAAAAGAGCACATCCCATGACAGTAGTTTCCTTGAACACTAGATTCTGAGGAGTGCAGACCGCCTTACCACGCTTGCCAAGTACCTGTCATAGAAAACAACCATACATCAGATCAATGCGCAACGACTAACTGATTATACTATTTCTTACTCCACCGGGCATGTATTCAGGTGAAAGTTATGTTTTTTCATTTATTTATTAAAATATATTTAAACAGGATGACAAAAATCAGATATGAATACAAAATCTGTTTTACATCCTTGTCCTGAATAGCTACAAAATTGATACACAAAAAAGAAATAGTGGAACTCAATCATGGTAGAAAAAAAATCTAAATACAAATCAGTAAACAACTTTACTTGTAAAATGATTCGCTCCTTAAAAAAAGAAGTTTCGAGCTACAAATGTATTGAACCCATGCTGTTATCTTAAGACCAAATTCATGTTTATGATTGCAAAAAAGTCGACGTTGATTTCATACCATAATACGCCCCAAACGAGCAGCGAGGTTCATATCCATTTCGAAGTTGACATCAACATTCGTTTCAATTATGATGTCCACACCTTTAGGTCCAAAGACATCCTGTACTTAGGAGGAGTAAAATGATAATGACAAAATGGCATTAAGATCCGAACTTGTAGAGAAACAAAAGTAATAATATAAAATAGCATTTGAGAAGCCTATTGAGTCTCATACGAATGGTCACTGGACCCCGTTGCATAAACCTTACTATTTTTCTTGTGCGCCTCGGAATAGCATTGTCTAGATAGACGGCGCTATACAAATGCCTATTATTATTATTATTATTATTTACCATGGTAACAAGCTCAACAGCCCATCAAATCAAGGTTTCCATAAAAGTTACCAATAATGGAAAAGTTACCATCAATGGTATATTTTATGCAACGTACGAAGCCCAGGTTCGACCATTGCTCTGTGCTTACATACTTGGATATGACACCCACGTTTGTCCCTCTCCGCCCCTAGGGGCACCCACCTATACTAGAGATTATCACGATTGCACCCTTGTCAGGAAGAAAAGTATTGATGCCGATGAGATTTCCCAGAATAAATTAGGTTATTATTATATATTATTGCTGTTTTTTTCCTTCATATTGTTATTGTAATTGTTATCGTTGTTGTTGATATTATTATTATTATCATTATTATTGTGACGCGGGACGCAAAACACCTTCTCAACAAATGAGTCTAAATAGAAATTGCTGCCACCACATGGTGATATAGGGACATGACCCCTGGATCAACTGAGGTTTCTCCAGTTGATCCCAATCTAAATGGAAAACTACGTCACAATATGAATTGTCTTTCCTTGTGACGTAACAATGCAAGACTGCAAGAGAGTTAATTATGCATAGAAAATGGGGGGAAAGGATTGCCGCTGATTGGCTAAGAGTAATGCGTGCCAAGTGCCATTCAATCAGACACCATGCGCCCATGTTACAAATTAGGAGCCATTCGTCTTAGTGTGCTCAAGAAATCCCGACAGAATTCACCAAGATGTTCCTCATGATGCATTCAGCTTCTTGTAGATTAAAAAGGAACAAGTCAAGAAATACTGGTAAATATTCTGTACTCTGATACTCTGTCTAATTGTTTATTCTGAATAATCTCTCTTCCATCATAGGCTTGTCGCTACTCATTCACATACCATTAGCAACGTGTATCAATATTGCACGATAACCACGTACAGAACTTAGGCATTTTCCCGCACATGCATACGTTCACTCCACACTACTCAGGGATAGGTACCACAGAGTACTCACTTAGCCTCTCGCTGCATAGTCTCGCATTTCCCTTACTCTCTGTCTCTCAAACTTATCCGAGCTGGAATCAATGGCGTAATAGGGCCGTTTGCATCAAGCAAACTGTTGGCTAAATAAATCAATCTAAACTCATCATTTTCTCTCTCGCTCTCACTTGACAATTGTAGTTACCTCTCCATCAACATCTTCTTTATCAATCAGGTCTACAATAATTGGTCAGGCAATTGCTTCAATGAATAATGCAAGAATACTTTGTAATATTAACGTTTAACTTGAACTTTAATAATGTATAAAACAGTAACTGGTGGAATGAATTCCGCAACGATGGTAAAGATACAACTTAGTCTAGGTTACATGGTATTTTAATCCACTTGGAGTACAAATATTTATAAGTTATTTAAATTTCGTTCCAACGTTTCTGTCTTTATTCGATCCTAGTTCCCAAGTCAGTGTTAACTCTTCTTTTCATACTCATTATCCCCTTGGCCTAAACCGTGTTGTTGCGACCAGCGCTTAAACACATCCTTTCGTATATCAATAAACCTCGCTTCTCAACTTGCCAACACCATTTCTCCCCTCCTGGGCATACCTGAACCAAACTTTCCCATCTTAAAACGTAGTCACTACCTTCTGGTCAGTGCTACTTTCAGAAACCGACGCTTAATAGAAACTGGCCTCAGAGATATTATCTCCCAGAAACTATGTCTAAAGATATCTTAACGAGGGAACAACTCTCTTGTTTAATCTGAACCATAACTTCTCAGAGTTTAACTCTAAATTCACAAATATATAAAATGTAATTACTAAATCAATGCATGGCGGTGGACTAGCAGGAAGAGAAGGGAGGGGGGGGGGGGGGGAGATGGTCAACTTCCAAGTCCTCTGATCTTGGTTCTAGTACCTCACTGACTGATCATCAAAACTGAAGGCAGTCTGATAACATGATCATCTAACAGAAATTGCATTCTGTTCTGTAGCCAAAATCATCTAACTGATCATCAAAACTGAAGGCAGTCTGATAACATGTTCATCTAACAGAAATTGCATTCTGTTCTGTAGCCAAAAATCATCTGACCTGATATCCTGAAAGGGGAGGGGGGGGGGGAACTAGTGACACCGCCTAAGACTAAACATGCATTGATTATGATATCTAGTAAGCATTTATGAATACATGTACTTCAATTCCGTACAAGTTTATGACCGAAAGGTCTGAACTTAGAATATTTCCTAAGGTAACAGTTACCAAAAATACTTAGAATACTTTAATAGAGCAAGTGACCGAAAGGTCTGAACTTAGAATATTTTCTAAGGTAAACAGTTACCTTAGAATACTTAGAATATTTTAATAATACAAGTGACCGAAAGGTCTGAACTTAGAATATTTTCTAAGGTTAACAGTTACCAAAAATACTTAGTGCAGGTTACCGAAAGGTCTACACTTAGAATATTTGTATGTATATTCTACAACCATATTGAACAAGGTAAAAGTTTATGTATAAAGGCACTTTTGAGACACACTTAACTCTTCCAGATAGCTTAGTCAGAAGACTAAGATTTAGGATGTCAAAGTATTAACATATTAAAGTATTGAAGTATTAGAAAGTCTTAAAGTATTGAAAATCCATCAATTTCCAACCAGTAAAGGTCTGAATAAATAATGCCAGGGTCCCAGACCCTGCAGTACGAACGAGGACATATGTTCCTTCCACACATGTTGTTCAGTTCTATAATAAATAATTATATACAAGGATGCAATGAATGAGTTGTCTTTTCTGTGTAAGTCCTATCAGAGCCAAAACAGTGACACTTAGTCTTAGAATATTTCAGAAGTGTAAGTAGACTCTAGAGACCAAAAGGTCGACACTTAGAATAATTTGGACATTTCAACATATTTCAATAAGCACACAATTAATTCCAGAATTCAGTCTGAAAATATCACATCATACACTTCATACATCAATATTATTATCTCCATTAGATGTGAAAGTACTGAAGAACTATATCGGGAATTATATTACCAACGATCCAAATCTAAAATCTGAATTTGTAAATCGAATTCAATTTCCTCCTAAAATCCCACATTTAGATAATAAATTCATTAAATCAGTAAGAACTGCATTCCATATTAATTTTCCATCTTCCCTTTAATTATTCTTATTTAATTTGAATAAAATTGGTACTTACAATGCTTCTTTGGGTGAAAGCTGAGAAGAGAATAAGAATGAATTGAGAGCATCCGAATGGTCTTCCAAAATGGCGATCTGAGAACTTGTGCCAAATTTGTGTCTCCCGCCCCGTATTTATACCCCTCCAATCCGGCAACGTGATTGGTCAAAAGTTCACACATATTTACGCGCCACTTTTAACCAGGCCGACCGGCCAGATAACCAAATCTCTGAATAAAATAGCACCCTCTACGTCACATTCAATGCAACTCAAAATCTCTCGCGGGAAGTTTAAAAGGTAAATTCCTGAACGCGCATACATGTGTACATTATCTCACAGGAACAATACAAAATAGTTACCAAGGAAATCTAATACTACGAGAAATACCAAAGGTGAGTACCTGCTTCCATAACATTATACATGTATGTGTAATTCTTGAGCATTAAAGTTTAAAAAGGTGACATAAGGTGTCTCACTTTAAGAGAGGAATTCCAGTCCCACACATTGTATTTGGTGTGGTAAAAAAAAAAGATTTATTGAAAGTTTATTTATCTATCCAAGTCCATATGAAAGATAAACATGTATATTTTATTTACCCACCAATTGTTTAATTAAAAGAAAAAAAATAGAGGGGTGGGGTCCAAAAACGCCACACTACCCCCCGCCTTTTAAACTTCGCTGTCCTCAGCGAATAAACAAAATTATTTTATTCTAAAATGTACATTTATGAGGTAATTGGTATATACAATAATTAATTAAATACATCGATAAGAAATGCCAAATACTATATTTAAACAAGTTTAATTACACCACAAATTATTCCAAAAGCTCGATGTGGGGGTAGAAATGGGATGTCTTCTTTTCTTGTAGAATGTTTTTTCCTCCCACATTCACGAAGGTTTCGGTTGTTACGGAGACGCACTTAAGCTGGGTAATACCTAGTGTTGGCGATTTCACGTGGCAAGTAACTTCAAAATCATTGTTCTTGCTCTCTTTTACTATCGCCATTCTTAAGGGGGTCACCACCTGTTCCTCCTCACTCTCACTTGCGCTCAGATCTGTTGCGGTCACAGATTCCATCTCCTCCTCTGACTCGCTGGCTTCTACGCTTAGTTCGGCCTCCTTGGCTTTCTTCCCCTCTTCAATTTCCCTGGCTACCCGTCTGGCCATCTCCCTCCTGTTGCTCTCCTTCTCCTCGCTTGCCTTCTCTTCTCTGGCCTTCTCCTCCTCTTGTCTGACTCTCTTCACCTCGCTTGCCTTCTCTTCCTCTTGTCTGACTCTCTTCACCTTCCTCTCACTTGCATCTCTTCTTCTTAGGAATCTGATTGAGGCCACATCATACCGGTTATGCTTGGTTTCTGCCCCCTTCAAGTGGTGCTGCCTCTTTAAATGACGCACCAGATGCTCTTCCGACTCTGATTCATAATCACATCGTCGGCACTGGTAGGTCAGGTCCGAATCATGGCTTTCCTGAAGATGTCTCTTTAGCTCGGGGTAAGTTTCATACTCGAGTGTGCATTTTCTGCAGCGGGGCATCTGTTTGAAAATATAAAAATATTGAGAGACATTTAAAGATGAGGGTTTATTTTATTCTTCAGTATAACGTTTGGGAATGTGTTTGACTCTCTCGGG